TGAGCACGCGACGGTGGGCGTAGGTTAGGAAGTGAACAATGAGTGGACTCCTGCCGCGCCGCTCGCCGCCTCCGCCGTCGGCCGCCCGACGACGCCCGACGGCACGGGCAGCCTCGACGACGCCGACGACCCCGGCCCGCCCCGCCCGGCGCTGCCGCCCGCCTTTCGGGCCGCGTCGAGCTTGGCGGCAAACTCCTTGCGGAACGCGGAGAAGTCGGTGTTCTTGGTGCTGCCGATGCGGCTGACGGCGGCGCCGCCGTTCTGGCTGGCGGCGTTGCCTCGAAGCGCGTCGTTGCGCGTCCTGAGCACCACCTCGTAGGTGCTCCTGAGCCGCTTGACGAAGTCGATGTCGGCCCGATCGGGGACATACGCCCGCTTGACGCCGGCCGATGCAGTCTGGCCTGGCGCCTGTCCAGCTGCCCCGGCCGCTCCAGCGTCCCCGCCCGCTGTGCCAGCCGCGTCGATGGCAGCAGCACCACCAGGTGGCAGCACGCCGGGCCATTCGGACCGCTTGCCGAGAAGGAAGTCGAGGATGCCATTTCGGTCGAGAGCAGGGATGGATGCGACGCGGGCAGAGGCGGCTTGTGCGAGGTAGGCGCCGGCCCTCTCGTCGCGCAGCTGGAGCGCCAGGAGGAGCGCCTCGACGCTGAAGAAGAGATCGGGCTCGGCGTCTGGCGAGGACGGCGCGGAGCCAGCAGAGAGGCGGGATGCGAGCGTCTCTTTGGAGCGTGCGAGTCGCGTCGGTTGCGTCTTGCTGAGGCGGATGGGCTCCGCAGATGACGGAGAGGCGATCTGGACGGTCTCGGCCTGTGTGACGGCGTCTACCCGCGATCCGGCGGCATCGAGGAGAGTGAAGGGTGCTAGGGGATCGGATGGGCTAGATCGAACGGCTGAGAGGACCAACTGAAGCGCGTCCAGCTGCTGCTGAGGCTGCTGCTGCTGCTGCTGCTCGGACGCCATGGCGAGGCTGGTCCCGCAGAGATGGTAAGGCTAGGAAGCAGTTTGTGAGGAAGCGGTGATGGCCAGGTCGTTGGCGTTAGATGCGATCGATAGGGCTGATGGAGACGAGGCGTAGGTGATAGCAGCAAGAGGAGGAGGGATAGCCTAGAAAGCAAGGCTGGCGCGTGGTGGTTGAGGATGAAGAGGCGAAGAGGGAAGAGGAAGAAGGATGCCAGGTTGAGCTGCGAAGGTCGGCCGGTCAGCCAGCCGAGCGCGAGGCGTGGGCTTGTGGAGATTATTCGCGGCACAGCGGGCGGGCCAGGCAGGCAGGCCAGGAGGCAGGCCAGGCCAGGCACGCGCAGCCTGGCGCCGACGAACTCGGAGCCGAGGTCGAGGTCAGCATGCTGGCATCCTCCTCGCGGCCCACAAACGTCGTTGCCCTCGATGGCAGCAGCCCTGCGGACAGCCCTCGCGGCACCTCGCCGAGCTCAATCTGGGCTCAGGCTTTGATTCTCTCCAATGCATCAGAACCGATCAGACTCGAATCCGAAGGCAAGATCTACATGGCCGCGTCGGCTGGTCGTACGACTCCCTTTCAGGCTCGCTCCCTGTCCCTCTCTCTCTCTCTCTCTCTGGCGGAGGCGCCTCTCACGAGGCTCAGAGAACATCACTTGAAGTCGCCCCAGATATCGGCGAACGCGTCGTTCTTTGGCGGCGCAGGCTTGCTCTGCTGCGTCGACGTGCCGTTGCCGCTCGACCCCCAGACGTCCTGCGTGTCGAACAGGCCGTTGCCCCCGCCTGCAGACGAGCTCGACGTCGTAGCAGGGGCCGGCTGAGCCCAGGGGCTCGCAGCGGCAGCCGCCCCGTTCGAGTTGAGATCCAGGCCGGCGAAGCCAGAGCTCAGCCCGCCAAAGCCCGCACTCGCCGTGTTGCTTGCCGCCGCCGCCGTCGTCGTTGCCTGCGGAGAAGTCGGGCTGGCAAACGAGCCAAAGTCACCAAAGCCACCAGAGCCGCTGTTGCTGGCGGGCATCGCAGGAGGCGCAGCGGGCTTGGCCGCGAACAGGCTCATGATGTCGTTCTTGGCGCGCGGAGCACCGCCAGCGCCGACGCCCGGCGAGCTCGGACTCGTGGCCGACGTGGCTCCTGCAGGCTCGTGCCAATCCAGGTCGAAGATGCCGCCGCCGCCGCCAGAGGCTTTGGGCGCAGCTGCGGGCGGGGCAGCTTGCTTTGCGGCGGGCTGCGCTCCGGATCGAGAGCTGGTGGCGTTCGGAACGTCGTCCAGCAGGTTCGACTTGCCACCAGAGACGGCCGGAGGGTCTGGTGTCGCCTCCGAGAGCAGGTCGATCGGGTTGGAGCGTGCCGGTGCAGGCCCAGCTGCGGGCTGACGGCTCGAGGCGGCAGCCGGGGCCTGAGCGCAGTAGACAGGCGGAAGAACAGGAGAGCAACAGCGGACGTAGCGTCCAGGTCAGCGAAAGGGCTCTGGGGCGAGCGGAGAAGGATCTGCATCAGCTCGGAAGGCTTGCTGCAAACTCACCGGAGGAGGTGCCGCAGCGGGGGCCGAGTCCGGGTCTAGGGTGGAAGGATCCGAGGGAGGCGGACCGTCCTTGGCCCAGCGTCGTGACTCGTACTGTTCGACCGTGGTCATTGAGAGAGGGCAGCCATCGGGTGTCAGCATGAAGCATTTTCCAGAGCAGGTCACAAGAGAGTCGCGAGCGACGTACCTTGCTGCGGATAAAGCTCTCGACCTTGTGCTCCGGAGGGGCGTGGCCGCTCTTGAGGTGCGCCTCCCAGTAGAGGTTGCATCTCTTGTTTCCCCACTTTTGCATCGAGTCCATCTGCTCGGGCGTCCAGATGTCGAGGTCTATCGACTTGACTGCAGTGCCGCATCGCAGGATGCCGGGGAGGAAGAGCGAGGCAGTCAGTACGAGGCGCATCCGAGGAATTGTGGCGGGCGGGCCTGGGGAGCGGGGCAGGGTGGGTGCGTACCTTTGCTGATGTGGGTGCCCATGGATCGGTGGATGCCCGAGCATCGGATGCAGAGGAAGCAGCCGATGTTCCACGAGGCCCAGCGCGGGTCGTTGCGCTTGCAGTCGGCGCAGACCTTGTTGTCCGGGTGCTTGACGAGCGTCCTCAGGATGCGGGCGTTGGCATCGTTCTGCGCCTTGGACTGGGCGGGCCTGCCGTAGGACATTTCGGCGGCCGGTCGAGTGGGGGTTGTGACTGGGGGCCAGGCTAAAATCGAGGCTCTTGGAGTGCGGGCTGACTGGTCCTGCTGGTCCGTGTATCAGGCGAGGTCGGGTTGCGCTTTGCTGATACCTCTATCGATGTGGGGGGAAGGTCGTCTACGGGGTTGTCTTGCGCAAGCAGATGGCGTTTTTGCTTGTAGGGGTGTGCAAAAGATTGTGGCGAGGAACAGGAGTGTGGCGGTGGCGGTGGCGGTGGCGGTGTTGGCGTTGAAGGTGGTCGTGGCGATGATGAGCGGAGAGGGGGGGCCAGCTGCGTGCGTGTGTGACTTTCGAAGAACCCAGCGGGGGTCCCCGCCTGGCCAGGCCTGGCCTCACCCTGGCCCGCTGGCCTGACCTTCCCCCGGCGACTGGTGGCCGGCGTGGCCAGCAGAGCGCAGGCACCAGCGGACGGGCGGGCGGGCCCCG